AGTGAGTCTTGTGTTGAACACCAACATGTTAGCGAGCTGCATTTGCCTCACATATGATTGTCACATTGATGGAATGGACATCTCGAAATCAAACGATCGCCCGGCTATGCTGGAGCTGGCTCTAGCGCCGGCCGCAGCACTGTGCGCGGGTCCATTAACGCTGGCCATTGTAAATGAAACGGCCTCATCGGCCAATTACTATCATTCTTGCAGATACTGCACTTCACAGATCATGATTCAGAATGAATAATTCCATGAGCAAATCAAATATGTAGGTGAGTAAGAAAAATGCACGTAATCGCTTAACAAAAGTAAGTACATTTTATATTCTCCTGTATTACAGAAAAGTCATCGTAGCTCTGAACGTTGACCCTTAAGGCACTCCGTAGCATGTTTAAAGGTTGAAGGGTGTGACGTGCGGTTAATGTCGTTATTTGTGTCGACAACGGTAAAAATAATTAAAAGCAACAACAAGACTATCAACAACGATCATCGTCCTTTTTCAGCTGTGTAAGGTGATAAAACTAGATTCCAGACGTCAGTGGGCGCCAGTGTTACTGACCTTCCCATGGCCTTAACCATGTAGGGACGGAAAATACATTTTAAGGAGGACGCAGGAGCTGAGGGAGGATACAAGAATGTGTGTAAAATATACTGTAGATTGATTGTAGATCACTAAAAATGCTTAAGAGCGTATTTATGGAGTCCCGAGTTACTTGCAATGTTGTGTGGGTAAATCAAATTAGCATGTTGGTTTTTTTTTAATTCAGACAAGAACAGGCCTGCAGAGGTCAGGTTTGGTCTCCAGCCAGCTCCTCCCTTAGTTCTGGTGTTCCCAAAATCCCTGACTGTCCTGCACCAGGGCCAACAAACAGTTGTAAACCTTGCATGGGTCATTGAAGAATGGCAAAGTTAAAGCCAAGAAGCTCACGGTCTGAGTACAAGGTCATGGGAAAAGTCACAGAGAAAGTTGACATGGCTATTTGTTATTTCTATTTTGGAAGCTCTTCTTTGGGGGAATAATGCGGAGTTGTTTAAAAACAGGAACCCCTCCTTGTGCCATATTGTATAGTTTAACCTTCACTAGATAATTTTTTAGGACAGATGGAATAACAGGGGATTTCCTTACTTATATTGAGAAAGATTTACAAAATGCTTTTTTTCCATTTGTGCAAAATTAACATTTTCTTCTGTCATGCAACATGATTATTTAAAATAATTTCAGGCATGAATTAACCTGTACACTTTTTACATTCATATTGACATATTATCTTAAAATCTGCCATTAGGGAAACCATCAGTGTCTGACTCAATTTCCATTTTTTACATTTATTTGGCAATCTCTAAAATCTAAATCTAAATGCATGATCTATTTTGGGGGAAAATGTTTAAAACAAGTTACAGGATTGGATTATTATGAAACCCTATCAAACCAGCGCCCTCGGCTAACCGTTCTGTTCTATAGATTACAGCAGACTATCATATATACTGTAGTAAATACTCTCCCTTTTCAAGTGACAAATACTAAAACATCACAGTTCTGCTGACTTTATCTCAGAGATAATATTTCATGAAATAACAGATGACGTATTGACATAAAATCCGTGTACGAATCAGGCAACTTGTTTTCTTTGACTTTATTATCAACATGATTTTCATGATCCCAATTCAAGTTATCTCTTACGTTTCTGTCATTTTATAAGATTAGTAGTAGTTTCAGTAAATATCACAGTTGTGGTGTTTCTAAAGGTAATAAAAGTTTACATGGTTCTGGTGACAGAAATTTAAATCTCCCCGTAATAAAAGTTTACATGGTTCTGGTGACTGATGAAATTTAAATCTCCCCAGTAACCGGAGTGATATTCGCCAATAAAACGTGCCACTAAAACCCCCTTAAATAATACTTGGCTTGAGGCAACCCTAAAAGTTACTTTGAAAATATTTTAAAACTAAAGAATCTCACGAAAGCCATGTCAGTTGCACAGAAGCTAACATCAGTTAGCATGGGAAAGATTAAAAAATAGTATTTGGCTGAAGTACTACTCAGAATGATGTGGTTTATGAACAAGCTAATCGTAGGGTTTTTTTTTTTTTCTTTCTTTCTATAAATATTGGCTGTGTTTTTTGCCGAGCGTTAACAAGGGACGACTGCACAGATTAGTAGAGACGCCGCTGAGGAAGTACAGCTGGAATGGATACAAACCGTTGGGCCAGCAGTTCATGGCTCATATTCAGACACACAGACACTAGTCCGATTTCACACTTCACTTTCTCCTTTTTATGGCCGTTGAGAAACAAGTGAAGGGGTCAGAGGTCGGAGCAGGAGTGAATGTGCTGTTATGATACACGATGTGATATGCTGAGCAGAGAAGGAGACCATCTGTGGCCCCCGTGCCTTTTCCAACTCCCGGCACCCCCCCCTCTCTTCCCCGTCCCTGCTGCAGACTAGTGTTATTAATGTATCGACATGCATTATTGATGTGTGGCATTATGATAATGGCTCTGAGAGCAGTGTGGTGGGAGTGAGGGGGTGGGCAGTCTGAGTGTGTGTGCTTTTGGTAGACAGTAAGGAGGAGGATTAAATGGGGAGGGGGGCGCGCGTTGAGTGCACTTGAGAAGTCATAATCACAGAAAAGTGGGAAAGATAGAATTGGACAGAATTATTCTGGTTAATAATGGTATTTTCCTTTACTTTATGATACTGTATTGACAATGCTAAAGTGGCTGTCAAAGGTTTTTCCTTTTCCATCCCCCACTTCTGCCTCAACTGCTACATCAACATCACTCCATAGGCAAAACATGACCAGCATTGTTTAGAAGTGGAGCACATATATGTTTATATTTCTGCAAAAAAAAAAAAAATATTTTGGCTCACTCCGTCCCGACCTAAAACAAAACAAATCAGTTCATTTTGATTTTTCAAGGCATGAGTGTTTTCAAAGGTCCTTCTCACAGGGCTCAGACCGTTCAGGTTAGGTTTGTTATCCTCACAGAAGCACCGGTCTACGTGGATATGACGAAGGGTTTTACTCCAAACAAGACCCTCTCAGCGCAGCTGTACCATCATCTATCTCTCTCCACAAAATGCAGATCCAACAACACTTGCCGGTCTCGTGTTTTTGAGGAAATCCACCACATTTACTTAATCTGTTTTAACCCTGTTTATTCACCCTTTTTATTCAGGGTCATTTTTTTTTTTTTTTTTTTTACCCACGTACTGTATTTATACTATCTACTGTTTATACTGGACAGAGCCGTCCACAGCCCCTGGTGAGGTCTGGGGAAGCACCAGATGTACTTTGCTTGCTCTGGAAGTAAACTCCTTCTAGTTTCTTCATTTATTATGTCAGTAAATATTTCCCCAATAGTCATATGGCCTCGATCTCAAATTCCAGGTCTTGTCCTATAGACGTGTTTTCCCCGGAAACCTAGGATTCCATTTTGGAGTGAGAGGAGGAGATAATATTGTTGGGAAATGTGTGAATTCCACAGCAAGATGATGTTCCCAGATTGGAGGAAGTAGACGCGAGTAATGCTTCTGATGTTCAGAATATACCAATCTGCTTGAAGATCCTGTTGTATAATGCTTTAACAACATGGTAACGTAAGGTTGATGGACAATCATAGGGCTAGGTATTGGTTAATTATGCAAATATATAAAATAAAATATTAAATATATAATAATATATAATAAAAATATAAAACAATTAACAATAAAAAAAATGTTTTAATTATTTCTCTCATCTCGCAGTGCTAATATTTACACCTTCAATTTGTACTTTGACCTTTTTTTATTAACTGTGAATATTTTGAAATTATCAAGAATGTTTTTTTTTTGTAAAAGACTTTTTTTTAACATTTTTTTTATCACGCAACACATGTAGCAAAAACACAACTTTTCATGTAAGCGTTCCAAAGAGGTGATCTGTGAAAATCTCTTACAAAGCAGTGGTTAGCGCCGTTAATTACAACCTGTCAAGAAAATTGGCAAGTCAACAGAGGCAAGGAGTTGCAGCTCAAGAATATTTGCATTCATTGACTTGGGATCTGGCAATTATTGACTCGGTTGCTCGTAATTTTCCTGTCACTCAGTTCAGTGTCGTTTGAATCCCAAACACCTAATTACCCTAAGAATAAATAAGAAATGCATAAAACACTTTAGAAAAGAAAACATGCCTATCAACAGTGTAGACATGGGGCAGATTTTAAGGTCAAATCTTTGGTGCATTTCAACTCTCTCTCTCTCTCTCTCTCTCTCTCTCTCTCTGACGAATGGCTCTGTTGCATTATTTAGTGTGTTTCCCAGTTCTCCATACAGATGAAATACAATTCCATAAAAGATGCAATATTGATTGTGTCCTCTGCAGATACATCTGTCCTAGGAACTCTTGCAGGTACAAGAAAAATTTGTGAATCATGTTTGATCAAATCTGTCAAATGAACGCCAGAAATTGTGCGAAAATGTTTTAAATAAAGGTGTAATTGTTGTATGATTAACCTCCAAGTCTCCACAGATTTGTCCAAAATGACCTTAAGGCAGCTTTATATCTACTTTGTGCTGGGTGCGAAATGGAAAAAAAAACTTTTTTAGTAAGTGAAGTGACAATAAAAATACATCGAAAATCTGTCGTTAGCAACATTTGAGTTCATTTTTTGCAATATTGGTGACAATAAAACACCTTAAAAATTGTGTTGAAGTTATATGTATGTTGTTAATAATTGCCGTTCCTGTGTAAGCATGTAGAAGAATATTGCATAGGATTTATGATATTAAAGAAATTATATTTTTGCTCTGGGCTGATGTACTGAACATTGAGGTAATGTCACTTGGCACCCACATCTGATGGAAGTAAACCCTGAGGAGCTAATACATATTTACATGTATACCTATTTAATGTGATTTTTTTTTACAAAATACATTTTCAGCCGATGGATATAAAATATAATATATTTTCACCTAAATCATACACCTCCTTCTTTTCCCTCTTCTTCAGGTGAAACATACTCAGAAAATCCCAGTCACACAGAGGAATGTCAGCCATGCACGCAGTGCACCGGTCTTTACCGCATGGACACGCCCTGTACGGACACGAACGACGCAAAGTGCGTTTGTAACTACGGCTACTACCTGAGTGACCTGTCTCAGCGTTGCGAGCCCTGCACCAAGTGTCCCGAAGGCCAGGGCATGCTGCTGAGCTGCGAAGTGGACCACGACACTATGTGCGAGCCGTGCACTGGTGACACGTACTCCGACCAGGAAAGTTTCCGGGACCCGTGCATCCCCTGTAACACCTGTGATGACATAGAGGTGGTACAGGCCTGCACTTCCGTTAGCGATGCCGTGTGTAAAGGTAAGTCCATGAGTACATGACAAAAAAAAAAAAATCTCGAAATACATTACGACAATGGCCTTTACATTAGCTAGCACAGGCATGGGCAAACTAAGGCCCGGGGGCCTGATGCGGCCCGTTCAGCTTTGTTATCCGGCCCGCCATACCTGTCCAAATTATATAATTGGGTTGTATTGTGATTATAGTTGTGTCTTTGCCCTGCAATGTCCACATTTGTCCTATAGATGGCATAGAGAAGGCTAAAAACTATTTTAACATTTTAGCCTTTATGCATGACTTTTACATGTCATTTATCTTAGTTCACATGAACTCTCCATCTATTTACTCCTGACCCGGCCCCACCTTTAATTTTAGTTAGTTCACATGAACTCTAGTCAAAAAGGTTGCCCACGTCTGAGCTAGCATGACGGGATGTAGAACACGCACGAAGCAAACAAGAAAAACAGAAGCAAAGGAAATAGATTAGGAGATAAGAGAAGAGAGGAGAGGAGACAACAGGAGAGGAGAGAGACGGCTAGTGGAAAACTACCTTTGTTGATGGAAAATTACGACAGAATGACCGAATTACAGTTCTCCGTGTTTACGGCGAATGGCTCAATGACACACATAATCTTGCAATTTAACACCATTCAATGCCATTCCGGGTTCCGTGAGCGCTTCGTGATAATGAGCTATATTATGTTAACACTTGAGGCAGTAGAAGTGGGTCGTCATATGTAACAACATGGGGGAGAAAGCCAGTGAGGCCGCACAACTTTCCATGGTCTACATAATGTGCTACAAAGAGTGACTTACTGATTATTCATAAAACTCACTTCATAAATGTAATCAAAGTGACAAACTTAACTAGTAATGGCTGCAAGACATCGAGATTCACTCTTGGTTTTCAACTTTCTTCTGGTACTCGAGATTCACTCTTGGTTTTCAACTTTTCTTCTGGTTCTGGTCTTCTTGATCTGAGTCTGACTCTGGCTCAGATATACACAATTGGACCACACTTTGGTGCTGGTTGATCATACCTGCATAGCAAGAAGGATTATGAGTATTAATATGACTTAGTGGTTGATTTATCTTGTCTTTTATATTTTTGGTAATACATTATTTTGGTGAACTAACTGAAGACAGGGTGGTTTTATTTTTTTGTACAGAGATTTATTTCTGTAGGTATTCAGAAAACGGTTGTGGGATGAGCCACACGAACAGTGGGCATGTTGATAATGGACCTCCGAGCAGAGGCGTGAAAGCTGAATTATAGTGTGAATCGCCCCAGGTCACTCACTGTAGTCAGTAGACTAAAAGGGAGCACGTGTTCACTGCACAGCGCGCGGTGGACAGTTACACTCAGTCAACATACGCACAGTCAGACCCACTGTGGGATCATCTCAGTGCATCTCTGTGTACACATTCTTAGCTCATCGATCCAAATGCCATGCCAAAGGTTGTCTCACTGTCTTCACAGGCTCATCCCGTCCCCAAACACAAAGAGCACTTTCTTTCTCTGCGCAGGGTTTAGCGGGAGGTCACATCTCTGAACCAGGCCCTGAATCTCTTTTATATTATTGCACCCTGTGGGTATCACTCACCAAATCACGAATTCCTAATGTCTGGAGTCACTGCTCATTCCAGTGACCTGATGCCACGCAGATTATATCAATGCTTTTGTCGGATGACAATAGCAGGAGTGTGTTAATCAGGGGTGCAGTTTGCAGTGTGAATGATGTTGTTATCAGAGTGCCGAAGACAGAGCACTCTTTCGGGGGGGATCTCGCTCGATTCCTGCTTAGCTCTCGCTACTGCTTTAAAAAAAGGCAGTAGAGTCAAAACGGACACTTTGTAAATATTTGTGTGATCATTTTCACTTTAGAACTCGGATTTTTTAAAAAATGGTTGTTTTGATCAAATCTACGTACTCAGTGAGAGTATTGCAAACAGAGAAAAGCAATATTTGATGCCAGTATGGAAACTGATAACCTTGTTGTGGTGCGACTACTACCTCCAGCGTGCAACCCTATATGTAAGCGATTGATCTTTTGGTGTCAACCGTATCAGTGTGCAACAAAAACCCTAATGCTTTTCCTGAGCAGGCCTAATGTTTTATTGTTATTTTACAGAATAATAGTTTTCTTTGCGTCGCCGACATGAGTAAGTCCTTTTCTCAGTTGGTCGTTTTGGTACAGAAGTAGGGAAGTTACTGTGTTAGAAGTTTTCCGTAGGTTGGCCAAAGTCTTCACCTTCCTGTGTTTTTAGATAAAAGGGCTAAAGAATATATAAAAATAAATTCTCTAAATATTGCACGAATGTGCTAGGATGATACTCCGTTTTCTACATCTTTTCACAAAACATGAAACCCAATAGATAAATGCTGTTGAAGGTCAGGGAGATGTCGGAATTTTATCCTAAAATTTTGAAGACCAGGACAAGATTGGTTGAATTGACCTCTTTAATATAGCACAAAAAGATGAATTGCTCACAATTATGTAAGAAGCGACTGTAGATAGCTGACAGTTGGTGAACAAAATGCTTGACTGCTGTCTGTTGAATTAGGACTCAATATATAGCGAACTCCTCAAAGTCAATTCACTGTTGAAAAGATTCCGATGTGATGACTGAGGATGCTTGACAGCATTACCTAGGAATAAAAAAAAACGGAAATATAATTAGGTCATTTGAGCTAATGCTACTGCTACACACTGTTTCAGTAAATGTCATTGGACTGACAGCTTTTGAAGAACTGGGAAGCACTACCAACCTACAGGGCTACTTCGCAAACACTCCTGACTACTGCGCGTATTGATGTTGCATTAAGTGCTTCCTCCACTGAATAAAAAAAACGCTATGGGTGATACCTTAATGTGGCCTGATGTAGACTGAGAGGCAAAGAGAAGTGTGGTGAATGGAGAGGTGATTCATCCCAGATCAAGATAAAAGGAACCAGAGCTTCAATACAAACCCAGCGTCTGGATAACTAACAAAGTCTGCTTCATAATTGATGCCAATTGGCCCTGTTTTCAGCCATGATGGCTCACAGCCCATGTGGATGGGCTTCATCGTCGTACATTGTTCCATGCCCTGACTCAATTACGTCTGTTTTATTCCCTGCGTAATCTTTCTGCTAAAGCACAAACATCATCAGAGCTTACCAATCTGCAGCGCTGCCAGACATCTGTGTCCATTAGCGTTGTTAAGTCAGGGGCCACGGGCCTCAAGGCCAAACGTGGGGTGGACAGAGAGAGAGAGGGGGAAACACAGATGTCCACTGTTTGCCCAAACACAAGTCATAACACGAGACACTGGAAACGCAGTCAAACCGTGCATGGAAGGGCCAGATATCGGTTATTGAGCCAGAGTCCAATTGTCTTTTGTTGTTAGAACTCTCCTAGCCTCCCCAACGTAGTACTGGTTAAGTGTTAGTCCTGACATGTCAGCAAACTGAATATAAACACTGCTGTGAAGAAGAAGTGAATGGGTTAAATATCTTTATGAATGGATAAGAAGGCTGAAATCATTGTTGTCGACAACAGGCTAACCCGCGTTGGAGAGAATTCTGCTCTCCTGATCTGACGTTAGTCCTTCTTTTTTTTTGGTTTCTCTCCTTGATAGCTGTCAAAATATCTGTAACTAGTGTCTGTATTGGATCGCGGTTGCCTTTCAAAAACCACAAGGGCAGTTTGAATCTTAGCCTGATGTTGAAACGTGGTAATAGTGACCAGACTTTGGTCGGCCAACTAAAAAGGTCCGAAGACAAGATGCTTATCCTACGGAGTGTGATATGACTTCCACTCTGCTGCTTGACGTTGAGAGAGGTCAGAGGCTAAATGTCAGAGGGGTTTGTTTGAGGGGGCTGGACGGTAGGGTGAAGTGAAGGTCATGTGACTTTTCCCTTGGGTGCAGCAGTGAAGAACGTGGAATGAAGTGCACAATTTGCAGACATCGGAGTCAATAAAGTTCAAACAATTGACATCTACTGGTGGCATTTCACACCAGACCCCTTATTGGAGATCTAGGAGAATCAATCCTGTCAGAGTAATGCCATGAATGTATTATAGTGAAAGAACACAGTACACAAATACTGTGTATACACAAGCAATACACAAATACACAATACACAAATACACAAGCAACGAGAAAGAAACCTAAGACAACTCAGTGAATCATTTGTCTCCATAGTGACAGTTGATGCACAAATGGCATCGTGCAGAAAAGGCAAATATTTTATAAAAAAAAATTACTAAAAAATACAGTCAAAACAGGTTGTTACTGTTTTAATGAAAATTATTTTATTTGGATTTTTAATTTAAAAAATATAGTCAAAGGATTTTTGGATGAAATAAAGTAAAAGATTACGCTCAAGGGTTGTATATGTTTATAAAATTTGGAGTTTTGTACATAAGTAGACATCATAATCCATGTGCTGATTTAAAAAAAAAAACAGATAAAAAAAAAGAATTTATAACCATGTAAAAATATTCAATAAAATGTAAGCTAGCTGTTTTTATAGTGTTTAGGCCAGCAGGGTAGGACAAATCAAATTTGTAATTTCAAGTTTACAAAATAAACCACAATATTCTCTATTCACAACAGAATATACTGCTGTCATTAAGTAAAACCAATAAATCACTTTGTGGTAGATTGTGCAGGAGATTATACAAATACGACAAAAACACAGACTGACTCATTTGTAGACTGTGTTACGAAGGTCTTTTAGAAATAGCGACGTAAATAAAACATTGTTGAATTTAAGAATTTTGTGAAACAAATCCTGTCAAAAAAATGACTGTCGAATTAGAGATAAATGGACAATGATCGTAGAAGCCACTCACAGTGGAGGGAACTCTGGTGTAGGGTCATTGAAAACAGCCGCTTTGAATGTTTACTGAGATTGAGCCCAGAATTTACTGAACATATGTAGGTTGACCTAGAAGCCCTGGGCCATTGCCCTCTGGGACTGTGGCAGAAGAGGCAACAGGTCGTCGTGTCTCAAGAGCTTATAGGGATTTTAA